CGTGGAGACATTATCATGGCCATGAAGCGGCCGCATTGCCCCAGCCACACAGCCGTACTTGGGGGCCGAGCTCACGGCTCAAGTGGCAAGGCGTCAGAATCAACTGAACGATAAGCACGCCATAATCGGAGCGAACGCCAAACTCCAGTTAATTAACATATTATTGCAAATTCAGCAGGAACAAGAAACTAAGCTGGAGTTGCTTTAGCTTCAACTTCTGCAGCTGCAGCTGCTAATGCACTTTAGTAATGCACTTCAATGTGCTTACACAGCCATGTGCAACATGCAGCGCACATCTCATTTACATGCATACACATAGCAACAATAATTACATGTGCCCGGCCTCCCCCGTTTCCGTAGCCGTCCAGAAGATTTTAATTCATTAGTAGACAACGGCCAAATGCATTTCCCATGTGTGTGGATTATTCAGTTTCCGCTTGAATGCAACTGCTGCAACTGCAGCTGCTGCTGCTGTTGCTGTTGCTGTTGCTGTTGCTGTTGCTGTTGCAACAGTCGATGCGCCACCATTTTATCTAATTGCGCCCACATTACGCATACGCAGCATAGAACACATCATTAAAATTACGAGTGGACAAAAATGCAAAAGCAACTCCCGACTCTGCTGCTCACGCCCAACCTCAACCCCAAATCGATGCTAGTGCAGCAGCGAGGGCTGCTTCAAAAGTAATTACTATTGACAGAAAAAAGTGCGATATATATATTGTTTCTTTCTATTCATTAAGTTGATAGCTCTAAGATTATATAGTGCCTTAGCGAGGGGCGATTCACAAGTTTAGCGTGTAGGCATATACAAGCATATATTGAATCACATGTGTTACTTTTTTTTTGTTTATTAAATTTATAACTTAAAGATTGTACAGGTACATATGCGAGGGCTGTTTCAAAAGTTGTGCCTATAGATATTTCTATCGATTCAATCTAGCTTAAGGACTCGAATTACAATTGCATTACAATTGCATCGATTCCACTTGATTTTTGATTTGATGTCGCGCAGATTGAAAAACTCTTCATGCTGAGAGCAATTCTAGTTGCGTGTGTCTTGAAGTGCACTTATATCTACAGCTAAATTCATGCCATAAAAATACTTGCTGGCTGCTTGAACTCAAGTGAGCTGTGCTTGAAGCTAGACTTAGTAATTAATATTTAATTTGATAAAAATGTCTGAGCAAGTTCACGCTCGCATAACAGAGCTCTTCATGCATGGAATTCTCGGAAAATTAAAATCAAAACAAAAAAAAAATATATTGAATAAGTAGAATGTGTCCGAATATCTTTCTGTCTGTCCGTCTGTTTGTAAAGGATGTCAGAGACTGCACACATCAAACGCTATCTAATACACACTCGAAGGTCTACGCTGACAGCTACGTCTCACTAGGCTACACAGCCTGGCGCACTTTCCTGGAGCTACAAAAATGGAATTCTCAACTGGTTATAGCTGAGCAAGGCTGATGATTTAACTGGAAAGTTGCTAATGCCATCTACAGGCAATCTACTCACTCAGTCAAAACCTTAAACTAGCTAATCATTTTCATGCTTACTTCATTAGCTGCCCTCGATAAGCGCTTGAATATCCATTGAAGCACATACTGCACAAACATAATTCGTAGCTGACCAGGCGGTGGGCAGAAGGCATTCGGTATCTGAAGCCTTGACAACTGCAAGTGGCATTAGTTGTAGCAACAACAGGCTGAGCAGACAGCAGCAACAACAACAACAACAACAATGACAGCAGCAATTGCATGCATCACTTTTTCTAGTACAAGGGATTTGCAATTGTTTGCTAATTGAAATTAAGCAAATATTTACAAACATGGAGCCAGAAGTGGGCAACGTGGAGTTGACCCACGTAATCCTTTTGTAGCGCATTAAAATTCATGAAATGAGTCCCAAAAACCAAACAAAAAATAAAAAAAAGAACGCAAAGGACCAATAGCAATGCCAGATAATTTAAATCCATTTGTACAACATTTGCCGCTGCTTTCAATTTTTTTTTGCTATTTTATTTTTCTGGTAATTAGTAAGAAAAGAGCTCGGCAGCGAGGGGCAGGATCGAAGCGTAACTGTAACCGGGTCCCATAATCAAATGTTTAAAAAAAGATTTGCAAGTAAATCCCAAGGAATTATTTGCCACTTGAAACGCTTAAAAATGCCAACAAGAATCTGTCGATGCTGATGAGGGTGACAGAGCGACAAAAAAAAAAAAAAAACAAAAAAAAGAAACAGAAAGCTGTTGGAAGAAAAAAGGCCAAAAGGCAAAGCGGGGCCATCACTGTCCCACCCCAGGCCCGAGGACGTCTGGCAGGTTGGGGTCAGACAAACTTAATGAGCAAATTGTCAAATGCCGCGGCAAAGCGCGCACTTAAACATGCCGGGATCTAGAAAATTACGCCCTCTACAACAACAACAACAACAACAGCAACAACGGCAACAACAAACAAGAAAAATAACTTGACGAAATGATAAAGATTGCAAGAAAATATCCAAAGGAGGCAAAAAAAGAAAGAAAAAAAAAAACAAAAATAAGGAAGAAAAAGTAAAAGTTGCTGTCGCCGTTGTTAGCCCATGTTTGGGGATTTGAATAAACAGTTACGCTGATTTAATTTGGTTCGACCGTGGCCCAGAGCGCAGCTTAGGGCTAAGGGCTATGGGCCAGGGCAAATCATTGGCGAGGAAAAAATTCTATCACAGTATGTCGTCTGTCACCCTCGATTTGATTTTTAAATTGCTTTCGTGATAAATTGACGAAATGAACAGCAATAACGCCACCAAGAAGAACGCGAAAAAATACACCCACACACACACACACACACACGCACACACCAGGAAAAAAATATGCGAAGAAAATTGACAATTGTCAAGGCGGCGCCCCCTGAATAGACATATAAAAATTAACTACAGACTACTTATCTTATTTGTTAACGCAGTCAGAAAAAAAAAGAAAAAACCAGGAGCCAAAATCCAGACAGACGCCAACACAATCCGAAAGCCAGGACTCAAGACCCACAGCCTAGCGCAATATGAACGGAAGCGAAGCCAAAAAGTTTGCCCGGCGCTTTTGATCTATGCGGTGGTGCGTGGTGTGCGGCGATATGAATGCGAATACATATTCCAATGGCAATATGCTACAAGTATCCTGGGGCGTAGACAGGAAGCAGACAATCAAGCCAAATGATACGCTGAATGGGATTATCCGAGAGCAAAGGCAACGGCAGCGGCAACGGCAGCGACAGCAGTCCGTACAGCTTCTCTGAACTTTATGGCAGCTCTCATTTCCCCTAATGAGCGCTACTTAGCAGGTGCTTTTTCCATAAACAATTGGACAATCAGAGCTAACTTTACAAACTTCCTTGAAATATAATTAAAAAACCTTTTCTGGTGTTGGTTATGACTGTTGACAGACAGAATAATTAGATCGGCTGAAACAAAGGGACATAGCCTTTGCCCAGCTGAGAAGATTTGCAGAAAAGAGCATAAGAGATCAAGGTAGAAGAAAATAGAGTATAAGAGAACAGAGTATATTAGAATAGAAAAAAAAGAAAACTGAGTATAAGAGAATGTAGTCTGAGAGCACAGAGTATAAGAGAACAGAGTATGCGGGAACAGAGTTAAAGAGAACAGTATAAGACAACATAATATAAGAGAGTAGTGTATAAGAGAACAAAGTATAAGAAAACATAATATAAGAGAGCACAATATAATACAGCGACGTATATGAAAACAGTGTCTAAGAGAATAGAGTTAGGATAGATGAAAGGCTGATCTGAAGAGCATTGATCAAATAGTTTTGAGCCAGTTTACGCAAGTTACACTCGATCTCAATAAGGGATATACCTAATACTGTTATAATTATTAGAGATGATTATTATATATTGATATACTCATATTTTCGTATGTGAAACACAGTGCAAAACCCTTTTCATAATATCGATAAATATCGATTTACAAACAAGCTTTCTTAAGGGTTTCTTAAGCATTTCTAGCCCAATATAAACACATCTCATATAGTTAATAGAAATAAATAGCTTTATAGTTGACTTTAAAATATATTTCTCAATAAATTCAAATTAAGTTTGAATAAATTTTAAGGGCTTTATCAATGTGGGGCACAAAGCATGAAGAAGTAAATAGTATACAAAAATTTTTGGAATTTGACCAGAGTTTTTAAAGGTTTAGATAAAGCACGAAAGTAAAAGTATTTGATACGAAGATAGAAAGATACTAAGAAACTGAGATACTAAGATACGAGGATACGTAAATACTGAGATACTGAGATAATAATATAATAAGATACTAAGATACTAAGATACTAAGATACTAAGATACTAAGATACTAAGATACCAAGATACTAAGATACTAAGATACTAAGATACTAAGATACTGAGATACTAAGATACTAAGATACTAAGATACCAAGATACTAAGATACTAAGATACTAAGATACTAAGATACTAAGATACTAAGATACTAAGATACTAAGATACTAAGATACTAAGATACTAAGATACTAAGATACTAAGATACTAAGATACTAAGATACTAAGATACTAAGATACTAAGATACTAAGATACTAAGATACTAAGATACTTAGATACTAAGATACTTAGATACTAAGATACTAAGATACTAAGATACTAAGATACTAAGATACTAAGATACTAAGATACTAAGATACTAAGATACTAAGATACTAAGATACTAAGATACTTAGATACATACTACTACTTAGATCATACTATCGTATCTAGGAAGATACAAATATTCTAATCTTAGTCTTTATCTTTTGGAATTGTCAACATCGAAGTATTTTTAAGTTATTCAGACAATCTGATCTCATATGCTGTCATGTGCCGAGTTTCATGTCCCTCCAACAGATCTCAATACATACACCATAATCATAGCCACTTTATAGCAAAGGTGCTCTACAGGCGCACACCTAGATCAAACAAGTTTGAGTACTTAAGGCCTATTTTGCTCACCCCTGCCGCTGCGTCCAACGAATCGCAGATCATTGAACTTGGCCACTTGGTTCTTCATGACGGCGGTGCAGTTGCGCAGCTCGCCGCAAAAGTTCTCATCGTTGCCGGCGCGTATGGTGACAATGGTGCCGTCCATGACCTCGCCCAGTGCCAGCACCTTGAAGGCGATTGGCAGCGTTTTATTGGAGCGCCAGTGCGTGGGCAACGTGGTGCAGACCTGGTTTGGGATAGTTTGAGAGTTGGTCTGATGGGATTGACTTGATTAGCTTCTTCTGCATACTCACTACGTGTGGTGAGCCCGTCTTGACCAGCTCGCCAGGATGTTCGGCTAGCAGGACGTCGACAGTGCGCTCGATCAGATTCTCGGGCGTCAGGTACGGGCTTGTATCCACGGTCTTGCTGTTGCTGTTGTTGTTGCTTTTGCTATTGTTGGTATTGTTGTTATTGTTGCTGCTGCTGTTGTTGTTGTTGGTCTCTGCATTGCGACGCTTCGTTGTGCTGCCCGTCGTTGTTATTGTTGCCGTGTGTTGCTGCTGCTGTGCTGGCTGCTGTTGCTGCTGCTGCTGCTGCTGCTGCTGCTGCTGCTGTGTTGGCTGCTGTTGATGTTGCTGCTGTTGCTGTTGCTGTTGCTGCTGTGTTTGATTTGAGGTGGTCGAACTGACCTCAGCTGAAATGTGCATTATTGCTAAGCTCCTTGATTGAGTTTTGCTAATCCTTCAATTGGCTTCTTCTCTTCAGCTGCTTCATAGAGTCGCGCACTTGATCATCTGCAATGTGTTTGACAACAAGAGACTTTCAATTAAATTATGGCATATTCATATATTATATTCTAAGTGCTTTAGTTTTTAGCTGTAGTCAAATTTAAAATCTTTATAGATTAGAGTTGGCCAGATCTAATGTTGAGGCTACACGAGATTCATAATTTATAGCTTTTTTTATAAGAATTTCTAATAGAAGGCGTCACGCTCAGCAGAGATCGCCGTTGCCCACTCTCAAACATTTGTTTCTTCGAGTCCAGCAGTGGCAAGATACTCTGATCTGGTCTGCATGAGCTGTTGCAGCTACAAATTTGTGGCGCATATAGTTTTTTTTTTTGGGTCAATCTATCGATCAACATATTCAGCTGCCGAAGACTTTGTTTGGCTGTCATTTGTCACGCTCTGAGTCTTCTCTGGCATAGTCCAAATTGCAAGCTTCAAGCCTCAGTGACAACAAACCAATATACTCCTTTCACTTACTCAAGTTGCAGCACAATCAACAAACGAAAAGTTATCTTTGCTCTGATGCCATTCAAACACGCTTCGACTTGCAGAGTTCTACACAGTTTATAGAGCTGGAATAGTGAACAAATTGACTTTTGACAACGCATCACAATCGTATCGCAGCTGGGCTTGTTCAGAGCTGTAACGCGCTTATCACTTAGCATTGAATTCAATGATCTTGCTGAACTGAGTGTCAAAGAGACTCTGGCTCTGTCTCAATCTTCACAAACTCCTGGTTCAAAGAGCCTCAATCTCAGTGTCAATCTGCACAAATTCCTAGCTCAAAGCTTTTTGTTCACACACTCGCCCACAAAAGTATGCAACACGTTTGTCAAACTTATCACAATTCGCTGTGTGTAGAGTAAATGTTGGGCTATTCCTGGCGCGGCTCTGCTCGTGGAGCGTTAGGCCCGCCGTACAACCACGCACCTTTGCGCACAATTTGCATTTAAGCCGCCGACAGCGAGCGCAACTCAATTAAATATTAAAAATCATGGCCAATATGTAACGTGCGGCCAACTGCTGCCAAATGGGCGAGAGGCGAGTGGCGAGGGGCGAGGGGCGAGCGGCGAGCCGAGGGCCTACTCAACTAAGATGGATGGCGGCCTACAGTTGCAATAACGGATTCCCCAGGACATCAAAAAAAAAAAAAATAAAAACAAAAACAACGCGAAATGGAAAAAGAGATAAAAAAATTGTATATAAATAAAAATGATAATAATAAAGCGCCAGCTGTTGTCCGTTTGTGTTTGGCCACCAAAAAAAATCAACAATGTGCAATCACACACACACGCACACACACACACACATGCGTGCCTTTTGGAACTGAATATAAAAGATTCGCGTGCGTTTTGTTTTTGCATTGCCATGCGACAACTATTTTTGTTGTTGTTTATGTACACACACACACACAGACAGAGTGAGTGTGTGTGTGTGTGTGTGCACAATCTGTAGGTAGTATATGTACTCGTTTTTTACAACTTCCGTTTGAATTTTTGCATACACAACGGTCGCAGCTGGACAACAAATGAGCTCGTCCAGTGACTATGCGGCGACATATGTGGCCACAGAGACGGCACACGAGCCAAAGGCAGACAACAGACAACAGACAACAGTCAACAGACAACAGACAACAGGCTGAAGGCCAGAAAATGAGTAAATGAGTTGATGCCATGCAAATGGCTGCTTATTGGAGCAGTCTTCATAGAGATCAGGGCCCTGTTAACATTAACAAAAGCTAGTTAAATGCAGAGGACAAACATGCGCTGCTCTTCTCGATCGCTTGACTTGACTTAGATTTATTTTTTTTTAATTTTATATCTTCCAAGCTTACATTTCCTCTAGCGCTAAGCGTATATTCCAATTGGGCGTCTTTCAGTTTTCATTTCTTAAAGTAATCTTTGCGAATTTGTCGGTTTATTTTGTTACACGATAAAAAAAATTAACGAATTCAATTATATCACAATTGTGCACAATAAAAAAATAATATAATATTATATTTCAATGATATTCAATAGATAACAATTTAATGAGTACACACACACTAGCACACACGCACACTAACACACTGACACACACTGATTAATGGAACCGCTTCGAGATTGTGAACTGAGCTTGAGTTTTGTGAGCCTTTAGCTTTGTGGCACTTGGAGAACGGCTGTGCTCTCTTCGGCTGGCTGGCGATCGAATCAAACGACACGGAGATATTAAACTATTTTTTTGCGGTAACCATGAACGCGACCACTATGAGCGGTTGGCGACGCCGACAGCGAAGTCAACAGCGCGTCATCATAATCACGACGGCGGACAAGGACGAAAGAGAGTACGAGGTGGGGCCAAGGCGACAACGAGAACGGGACGAAGCAGCAGCAGCCGCAGCCGCAGCAGCAGCAGCAGCAGCAGCAGTGGCAGCAGTGGCAGCAGTAGCAGCCGTAGCAGCAGCGGCAATGTCTCGATGTGAATGTGAATGTGGCTGCCGACTGCTGACTGCTGGCTGTTGGATGCTACCGCCTTTGGAGTGCGAGTGCCGCCTCTTTTTGCGTTTTTCAAGCAACCGCGTTGGGTATATAATTCTTTTTCTTGGCTTAACATTTACCACGAGAACCAGTAGCAGTGGTTTTTACTTGTGGTGTCCCAGCAGCGACGCCAACAGCGACTGCAGCGTAGCCAACTGGCAACATTGCCACGCTGCCGTTGCCGTTGCCGTCGACGTCGACAGCAGCGGCAGCGGCTGCGGCTGCGGCTGCGGCAGCGCCACTGACGAACCGAAAGCCACGCCAAAAACCGAAACCGAAACCAAAACCGTCAACTACACCACAAGCAGAAAGGCCGCAACGATGTCTTCAAGTTGGTACCCCAACTACACAGCCTCCAGCCTCCAGTCGCCCCCAACGCCCGATGCTGGAAATACAGAAAAAAAAGCGCTCAATTTTGGCGCTCGCAACACCTTCGCTAGCTGCTTAGAGACCAGCCGGGCCAGCGGCTGGAAGCCACTGGGCTGAGTGCTGGGAGAGAGCAAAGACAAAAAAAAATTGAGTCGAATCTCGCAGCTGGAAGCTGCGTCCTGCAGCCTGACTCATTTTTCTATGCAGCGCTTATGGTATTTCCCTCAACGTATCGTTATTTTTCTTTCTTTCTTTTCATGTTGTTGTTTCTCTTTGGCGCTAGCAACCCCCAAAAGACGTCTTGGAATTGCGCTGCGACGTCTTTTCGCTTTCGACTCAAACGCAAAAAAAAAAAAAAAAATAGAAAAAAAATCTCAACGCGCAGCGTGGTAAATAAGGCGCTATCGACTCCCTGAACTCCGCACAGTCGGCGCTCGACCTCAGAATTACAAGTCCGAGATGTTGGCCAAAAAATGAAACCGGCGCGCGGCTTTGCGGCGAGCCTCTAGCTAACCAGAGAATGTGCATAGCCAGTCAGGCAGCCAAGCCGAGAGAGAGAGAGAGAGACGGCAAGCGTGCCAGAGTGAGATGCCGCACAAGTGTGGGCGGGTTAGAGTGAGTGCCAACTAGTGGTAGAGCGGTAAAAATCTTGCGGCTGCCATTTGCGGCCAAAGACGAGGCAATTTTTGTTCTTGTTCGAGCTAGGTGCTCCAATGGTTCGGTTCCGAATTGGGCGGCTTGAGTGAAAAATTGCATTGCCTAACCACATGAGCATAAGACGTCCTCTCACTAACACACTCGCACACACACACACACTCACATATTCAAAAGTAGGTGGATTCGTTGAGAATTTTTTCGTCTCTTCCAATTTTTTTTTTTTTTTTTGTGATTAGGGCGGAGTTTTCTTGGCTTGCTTCAGTTGGGACGTGTCGGCATATTAACGTTCAACCCTCCTACATTTTGCGGTTACTGCATGAAGCAAGAAGACGCGAACGCTAAGTCGCAAGGGGCGGGGGCTGGCTGCTAGTGTCGGTGGTGGCAGTGGTGTCGATGGTGTCGATGGTGTCGACGGTGGTTGTATGTGTGCTGTCAGTCGGCGGTTGCGCAGCAAACATGTCGAAGGGTGTGTGGTTGGCATAATGAAACCACAAGAATTATTATACGCTGCGGTCGATTACTATATCAAAATGCTAATCCAGCTGCCGGCGGCGCCGACCCAATAGCCAACCAAACGGCGCAGGGCACAAACCAATGAGCGCCGTCGCTCAATTACCAAGCGAACTGCTCGAACAAGCACTTGAAGCGTTCGAAAATGGTGGCATTATCTTAAGTCAGTTGCGTATGGAGAAACTAGAGAAACATACTTATAGTTCATACAAAGCCAAAATGTTTCAACTTAAAATTTATTGGAAAATATTAACGAAATTTTCCGATTCAATTTATTCCAATAATAATTTTATTTTATATTTAAATTATTATTTTCGTGTCATTTTTATATATGTGTACAAAATAATTTTAAGCATTTTACATTTTTATATATTTATTTCGCAGTTTAATTATTATATTAATGCTATTTTAGTAGATCTTATATATTTAGTATTTAGTAGATCTTTATATATTTTGTTTTCTTTTTTGCCCAAATTTAATTTTTTTTAAGCAATTAATAATCTTTTTATCTTTATTTAAAATTTTTAATTTTTATTTTAATGACATTTTTGTCTTTCCTTTTAAGGAACATTTTTGAATATATACTTCATAACTCTTTATTTTAAATATTTGTAGAAATTTCAATATATATTTTTACATTTTCATATTTTTTAAATTTTTCTTGTCAGTTTTATTTTATATTTATTTTAATCAGTTTTTATATCTGAGTTAAATAAAAATTAATACTAAAATAAATTAGAAATAAAATTAAAAATAAAAAATAAAAATGTGAAGAATTTAAAATAAAATTTAAAAAGTTTTTTACAATTCAAATATATGCTAAATATTGAAAGAAGTTTGAAAATCTCTATAGTTTCGATCTAAAAACTA